GCCAAGGGGGGGGGGGTGGGGGGGGGGGAGTGAGAGAGAGAGAGAGAGAGAGAGAGAGAGAGAGAGAGAGAGAGAGAATAGAATAGAATAAATGTTAAAAACAAAGGATGTTACAGCTAAGACATATTGGTAATGATGCCAGGTGTAGTGGCTCATGCCTATAATCCCAGCACTCTGGAGCCTGAAGCAGGCAAATTGCTGGGAGTTTGAAACCAGCCTGGACTACATAGTGAGTTCCAGAATAGCCTGGGCTGCAGAGTAAGATTGTGTCAAAAAGAAAAAAAAACAAAAACGCTAGAGACCACTGGACATAGTGCCACATGCCTGTGCTCTTGGGATTCAGGAAGCTGAAGCAATAAGATATTGAGATTGAGGCCACCCTAGGCTATAGGGAGAACTTGTCTCACAAATAAACAAATATGCAAAGTATCTGCACAGCCTCCAGCAAGCTGTAATCCTTTCACTGCTGGATTTTGCTTTGGTTTTCTTATCTGCTGACTGATCAGGGTGGTGGTGGCTAAAGGCTGGGGTGGCTGTGGTAACTTCTTCAAACAGTTCAACAGGTGTGCACACTCCTTGCACACACATACACACCCAACATGCCATTCATGACATTTAATAGTATTTTACCCATAGAACTTTCTTCAGAATCAAAGGCACTGGACAGAGAAAGGAGTGGGGGGATCAGTCTTCTCAAACCCTGACTTTGCTTTATCAAGTTTGCATTTTTATTTTAATTCTAATTTTTTGTGTGCATCAGTTTTGCTGCATGTGCACCATGTGCATGCAATGCTTATAGCAGCCAGAAGAGGGTGTCAGACCCCCCCAACTGGAATTAGGAACAGTTGTTAGCCACCGTGTGGGTGCTGGGAACTGAACCTGGATCCTCTGCAAGAGCAGCCAGTGCTCTTACACTCGAGCCTGCTGTACATAGTGAATTTCAGGCTAGCTAAGACTACATAATGAGACCTTGTCTATAAATAGAAAGAAAGGGAGAGAAACCTGACTTTGCAAACCACCTAACACCACACGATCCCATAGCAAAAATCCCTAGGCAGGTACTGGCACATTGATATAGAATTTCCCAACCTTGAGAACCATTATGTAAATAAATTTCTATTCCTTATAAATTACCCAGTCGCAGGTATTTTATTATAACAGATAACAGACTAAGATAGGCCCTAACTTTATTATCTGCATTCTAACAAAGATAAACATACTGCAGCTTCAGCTGTGCTGGTGAAGGGCCTGGGAATGGATTGACATTGCTTTGGGTTTGCCTGCTTGAATGAAATAGTTGCATTTTACTCATGGCTGACAAGAGATCTTCCTTTTTCAGTAGGTATAAATAGACCTGATGTGGTCAGCACTGTGGGTAACAGGAGCAGAGAGGGAAGGGTGGGAGGCCAAACCCTGAGCTTCAGAACAAAGAGGCAAACCTTAGAATCATGGCGGGCCTGTAGGTAGAATGCAAGCAGGGCCAGTGTTAAAAGAGGTGACTCATTCTGGAAGGGCAGCCCTTCTGTCTGATGGAGGCCTGCAATGCAGAGCTTTGCTCTGGTCATTCCATTTCCAGGGCGGAGCATGCACCCTCATGCACAGGAGTACAGGGCCTTGGGTGGGGACAGGAAGACTCCTGCCACTGAGGCCGAAGACACCCCCTCACTCTCCATAGCCCCCAGATAGGAGCTTCAGTGGACTGATGAATCTCCTCTGTGGCTACAGCCAGGGCACAAGGGTTTCAGCCTGAGATCTTGGGGGTGCATCCAACAGAAGGGATGCTCAGCCAGGCAGCACGCACCTGCTGCTGGGATGATAGTGATCAGGCTTCTAAGAGGAAGAAGTCTGGTTCCTCGCCACTTGACCTTCTCATGGCTGGTGATTCAACTTAGTTAGTAGAATGCCTAGCATGCAGATTCCTGCATTCAATCCCCAGCACTGCATAAACCAAGCACGGTGGTGCATGCCTGTAATTCTAGCCCTCAGGCTGTGGGGGCAGAAGGAAAAGAAATTCAAGGTCATCTGCTGCAACTTAGCAAGTTTGAGGCCAGTTTGGATTAGGTGAAACCCTGTGTCAGCATCAGCACCAAAAAGAGAGGAAGCCCTCAATCTCAACTGAGAGATGGAAGGCTTCAGGGACACATAGACATGGCCCTGGCTCACTCCCCAGCCCCCACTCTCCCCTGCCTACTCTGCTCCTACTCTCCCTCTGCTCTTGGTTGGAGCAGATGTTGAACGAGGCAAAGACAGAAGAACCAGGCTGCCAATGAAAGCTGCCTGGTGGAAGAGGTGGAAAGACTGTAGTTTCCGGAGGTGCTGGCCACTCTTTGCTCTTTAAGCAGGAGAGCAAAGCCTCAGGCCGTTGTTGGGGACCATCAGTGGCCTCCAGCCTCCTGAACTGTCTCTGCCCTGACAGGCTTTGGGCCGGCTTAAGTGCTTCTCCGAGCTGCCTCTGCCCTTCCTGCAATGGTGGCCCAAGCCCTGAGTATCATAGCCAAGGTACCCAAGCTGAGCATGGGCATGGCCTTAGCACCATGGGAGCACAATATCCCACGACAGGGCACTACAGCAAGTTCCAGGAGGTCAAGTGAGCCAGTGGCACCAACAGCACCAGGGGGCCTCTCTGCTTCCTGCCTACCCCAATGGTTCCGGCTGCTGCTTCCTGTTGGCCCACCTGGATACCAGCATTGACCCATGCCAGGACTTTCTCGTCATGTGGGCTGGCTGCTGTGCCATGCTATCCCCAACAAGATCATCTATGGCACCATCACAGCATGAGAAGCCTGAGGTACCTGTTTGCACAGCCCTCCAGACAGGAACTCTTGAACTAAGCTATCCTTGTTAGTATGTCCACCTCACAATCTGGGGACGGGCAGCCCAGCCTACAACCCTCTAGCTGCATTCGGCAGACACTTGAGCTTTTCCTTCTAGAAAGCACTGATACTACATTGTGTAACAGTTCATTTTATTATTGCTATGGTTACCCCAGGAGAATGGAGGCCCCAGGAATGTAGGACACATCTTTGTGCCAGCCAGACATGGTGGAGCACACCTGCAATCCAAGCACTTGGGAGGCAGGAGGGTGGTGAGTTGAAATCCAGACTAGGGAAGACTGTCTCAAAAACTGGAAGAAAAAAAGTGCAAAGTGCAGGCCCAGTGGGTCTGGGGCAAAGTGCTGTCCTTTGGCCACCAGCTCACAGCTGTTGGGGGGCCTCTCCTTGATTTCCCAGCATGGAGTGGTCACAGGGTTGAACTTGGAGGACCCCTCCTATGTAATGGTACTGCTGGACCTCTGAGGGTTCCCTGCTGGACATGAGACTGATGGTAATGGAGGGGACAGATGGCGGTCAAAGCTTTGCTGGGCTCCTAGTCCATGGTACTACAGACACTGAAGCCAAGAAAGTCTGGCACTAAGTATTGTCCATTCCTGGTGACTCAGGCCCTGTGATGCTTGCTGTCCACTTGGTTCTTCCCAAGGCTTAGCAGTGGGCAATGATGGACCCTGAAGAGCCGGCCCAGGATGGTAAGTGGTTTTGCCTCATCCTGCAGGTCTGAAGCTGGCTTAATACTCTGAAGTGGCAGGATTGGCAGCCTGGTCTGGGACTGGAGACCTGGAGTGAGGGTACAGAGAACCAGAGGGACAGGTGGAGCCTAGAAGGGAGCACCAGCAGGGAGCACTGAGGTCAGCTGTGGGACACCGGGGTGGAGCATAGGTGGTCAGGGTTCAGTGGCCACCAGTAGCATCGTCAGGGACCCCGCCAGCAGTGAGGGGGTCCAGCCCTGGTGGGCGGTGCTGCTATCATCGGCAGGGGGCGCCAGGTGGCAGTCGGTATAGGGCTCCAGGCAGCCAGCAAAGGCCATGATGTGCGCGACGTAATTCTGCTCCTGCACTCCGTGCACCAGGTGCGCCTGCGGGCCACGTGCAAATATTGCCACGTCCTCACCACCGTGGGTCTCTGAGGAGAGGGGCACAGCCGCCTGCTGCCGGTACATAGGGTTCCCTGGAAGCAAGAGTGTTCAGGGCAGGGGGCCTCCACCTCCAGGAGTTCTTTCAAGCCTCTGCCCGAACCTGACAGCCCCCTGAACTTACGGCTCTCTCTGTCAGTGACATTAGGCCGGATACCATTCTGCAGCTTGTAGCCAGGGCCGTTGCCATACAGGATGGAGGTAAAGGAGTTGCCGTCCTGAGCCTTGAAGGGAGCCAGCCCTGCAGGGAGAGGGGATAGGTTGTTTTCAGCCCTTACTGCTTCAACAGTGCATGTGTGGCTGTCTGTACTCCCTCACCTTCTGCCTGGTCACTATTTAATCTTCACCAGATCCCTGCAATGCAAGTGCTCCTTGTGCCCTTTTGACAGATAAGGCAACTGAGGCCCAAAGATTTTTCCACCCTCTACAACTGAGGCAACACCACCTGCCACTGTCCCCTGGCCTACCGAAGATGGAGGTCCCCCGAAGTGTGTAGCCACCAAAAGAGAAGACGTGGGAGTGGTCAGCGGTGACAAGGATCAGCGTGTCCTGCTCACTGGTGAGTTTGTCTGCCTTGTCAATGGCAGAGTCAAACATGACAGCTTCAGTCAGTGCCTGATAAGCTCTGCCCTCGTGGTGACCATGGTCAATGCGGCCCCCTGCAGGGAACCAGTGATACTTGTGATATATACAGTGATATGGAAAAAAGGAGGGGACAGGTGTGATACTTGAATCTGCCCTGCACCCCTGTCCCCTCCTTTTTTCTGCCAGGCACAACCACTCACCTTCCACAAAGAGATAAAAGCCTCGGGGGTTCCTGCTCAGCATGCGCACGGCCACCTCTGTCATCTCCTCCAGGGACGGGTCAAGTGAGTGGTCTTGCTGGCTCTCATATTTCATGTGTTCAGGTTCAAAGAGGCCTGAGGAGTAAGATAATCTGTGTTGACCCCCAGGCTGGGCAGTAGGGACATGGTATACCCCCACACTTTCCCAGTGGAGGCTATCTAAGGGGTGCCGAGGCAAGAGCAGGCGTCATTACCCATGAGGTGTGTCACAGATGGGTCCTGAGACGCCCGAATGAGCTCTGTGCGGTTCCAAACATACCAGGCCCCCTGCAGGGACACAGCCAGTCTTAGCACATATCTTGAAATGTGATGGGTTCCAGCATTCCAGCAATGCCCTCTGCCCTACTGTCTGCCTTACCCGGTGTTTCGCTAGCCACTCCTGTACCAGGTCCCGTTCATCCAGCCTAGTTCCAGCCTTGCTCGTGTTAACAGGGTACTCAGGGTCTGGTGTCCCCTTGGGAAACATAAACTTGCGGCCACCACCGAGGATCACCTGCGATCAAAGGAATCAGAAGTTCATCAGGGCAAGGGGATTTGGGACCTGACTGATCCCCTGTCCCTCCTGACAGCACATGGTCCCCGCCAACAGGTTTGTGGGAAGGGCTCTCTTGGACTGTACCTTCTACATCCACCTCTACCCATCCCTCAGATACCCTGGAGGACCCAGAGCTCAGGCAGTTCACTGCCTAGACTGCAGTGAGTACTGTTATTCTAGACCCTCCCCCTGGCTCTTGGAGCGCACATTAATATCCATGTTGACGACAAGTTGGGTGGAGATGTCCTTGCAGCCCTCCTGCAGTGCCGAGGCAGACATTTGAGCATCTGAGTACCAGTTGCGGTTCACCGTGTGTGCATAGGTCCCAGCTGGAGAGGCATGCTGGACCGAGGTGGTAGTCACCACTCCCACGGACTTCCCTACAGAAGAGATCAGGTGAGCCACTCAGTACCCCAGATAAACCACCAAGAATCCCAGACCTGCCTCTGTCACCGAGCGTGGCCCCAACTCACCTGCTTTCTTGGCTCGATGCATCACAGAGACTACCTCGTTGCCCCACGTTGTGTTGCACTGGTCAAAGCGTGCTGCCGCACTCAAGCCAATGACCTTGTAATTAGTCTTGACCCCACAGAGGAAGGCTGTGGCTGTGCCTGCGCTGTCTGGAACCTGCATGTCTACGTTGTAGGTCTGTAGACAGAGACACTCTCAGCTCCCCTCTACTGGCAGACATTAGTCCTGACTGGGGCATGTCCCCACACTATGATGGGCCCTTGCTCATATGGTCTCCCCTCTGCTATTCTACCACATCTTGCCACCCCCCTCCCCCGTCGGGGGCTCAGATGCCCCCAAGCTCACCTTGGAAAGGGCCATGTATGGGAAGCGGTCCATGGCTAGGGGTGTCTCAGGTCCCAGGTGGCCATCCAGTTGTCCCTTTAGGATCCGAGTGGCTGTCACCGTGGGCACCCCCATCCCTGAAGGAGCAGAACACAGTCAGATCTGAACCCCCAGGCCTGCCTTCCAGGGCCCACCAGCAGCCTTGGGTTCCTGGGGTGTGTGACAGCCCTAGGGGCCAGACCTCGAACACTCACCATCCCCCAGGAAGATGATGAGGTTCTTGGCTGATGTCTGAATGGGCTGTAGCTTCTTGGCTGCATCCAAGGCCTTGGCTGCCTTTTGGTTCCAGAAGGCTGGGTTCTCCTCCTCCACTGGCCAAGGGGAGAACAGAGGAAGAGTCAGACGAAGGCTGTGTGTGTAAGGGGAGCAAGCAGCTCAGGGAACCTTCTTACCTGGGATGACGCCAAGGGACAGATGTAGTCTGAGGCCCAGCAGCAGCAGCAGAACCCAGGCTCCAGGCATGGCTTCAGCTGGTGGTGAAACTGTAGTGGAAGGAGAAGTCAGGACACAAGGATACCACCTAAGGAAGGCACTGGCTGCCTTGTCTTAAATAGGGGAAGACCCAGTCCCTGCTTAAAAAGCTCAGTGTCCCTCCCAATCCCTGGGTACTACCCTTGCCCCACCCCTTTCCTGTGAACAGAAGCCTAGCTGGCTGAAGGGAGGTGACAAGGTGTGGCTGGGCTAGTCTAGGGCAGTGTCTTGGTACCAGGGCTATGTGTAAGCCCCTGGTATCTCCCCCAGGTTGGATGGGAGGCTTGGGACAGTCAATATCTGGGTTAGTGCAGGAGCCACAAACCTCTGTTCTGTGGGAGCCCATTACTCTTTGTTTCTGAGAACCAGTTGGGGACAGAGGTGGCCTGGTTGCCTTCTCCTTTGGCCTTAGAGCAGGTGAATTACCCAGGAGTGTCAGCCAGGTGGACTATGGAGTCAAAGTTGGCTGGAACAGCCCTTCTTTTTTGCGTTTGGATGCATGCTCTAGTGGACACTATGCCCTTGGCCAGAACTTGAGCCAGACCAGGCAAGGCCTGGGTCTTCCTGAGTAACAAGCAGGATTTACCTTTGAAGTTGATCCCCTTCTGTGTTGGGCAGATGCTGCATAGGCCCTGGGCACACCCTCGATGTGGTCTGGGATAAGGAATGTTCTGCAACCCAAGGTAGCCTTGAACACGGGATCCTCTGCCTCAATCTCCCAAGAAACTGGGTTTAGAGGCATGTACCACCACAACAGACAGATGTCTCTCTCCCTCTCTCATTTTTTGGGACGGGGTCTCATTCTGAACCCAGGCAGACTTCAAACTCATAGCAGTCAGCCTCCCAAGTGCTAGAATTGCAGGCATGCACTAGACATCTAGCTTTGGTTGTGTTGGACTTTGTTTTTGTTGAATTAGGATCTCGTATAGGCCAGATTGGCCTGGAATTTGCTATGTAGCCTAGGGTGACCTTGAGTTCTGGATTCCCTGCCCTTACCTCCCAAGTGCTTGAATTACAGGTAGATGCTACCACACCCAGTTTGTTTTTGTGTTTGAGACAAGGTCTCATGTAGCCCAGGTTAGCTTCAAATTTGATAAGTAGCCAAGGCTACTTGGAGCTCCTGATCCTTTTCCCTCTAGTTCTGGAGTGCTGGGATTATAGGCAGATGCCATCGTGGTCAGCCACATCTAAGGTTTTTCTTTGCTTGTTTGTTTTTAGATAATTTGATGCTGGGCCTCACATAGCCCAGGCTTGCCTTGAATTCTGCATCTAGCCAAGGACAACCTTAAATTCCTGAGGCTCCTATCTCTACCTCCTGAGTGCTGGAATTATAGGCATGTACCACATGCTTTATTTCATTCAATGCTGGGAATCAAATTCAGGATTTCATGGATGCTAAGCACTCTACCAGCTGAGCTACATCGCCAGCCCTTGTGTCATTTCTTTAGAAAGTAATGAACTTTTTTTTTCTGGTCTTTTTGACAGAGGGTCTCCCTGTAGCCATAGCTTGCCTAGAACTCACTATGTAGACCAAGCTGGCCTTGATCTCACTGAGATCCTCCTGCCTCTACCTCCCGAGAGCTGGGATTAAAGGCGTGCACCACCACTCCCAGCTACTAATGAACTATTTTGCAGAGTAGAGCACCATTTTACATGCCCACCAGCAAAATCGGAATGACTCAGTTTTGTTGCATCTGGAATCAGATCTAGTCTCAGTGTCAATCAGGCTAATCTCACTTGGCCACTCCCTCCATGGTCTGCAGCACTATTTATCTTTTTAAGGTTGACTTAAGTGCCTCTGTTTGATCCCGACAGTGTCTCACCAGAATTTGGTGTGTCACTACCTTTGCTCCTGTCTTGGGTGACCCTGTCTTTTTCAATTATGATCTGCCCTGATTTCCTGAACATTTCTTCATGTGCCGGGGCAGGACTGGAGACCAGGCACCTGTCACTTGTGGTGATCACAGTATGCTCATCCACATCTAAAGTGTACAGACACAACCCAGCCACGTAGGGCCATCTGAACCCCTGTGTCCATCTCCATGCCTGGGTCACCTTCGGGGCCCAGGGATTTCAAGTCATCAGTACAGGCTCCAGAACCAGGCATGGTGACACACACTTGTGAGCTCAGCTCTTAATAGATGGAGGCAGGAGGATGGGGAGTTCAAGATCATCCTTGGCTACACAGTAAGTTTCAGGGAAGCCTGAGATATATGAGACCCTGTCTAAAACAAATGGGGGGAGATGTAGCTCAGTTGGTATAGTGCTTGCCTCACACACATGAAGCCCAGGGTTCAATCCTCAGCATTGCATAAATTGGCCATGGTGGTGTATGCCACTAATCACAAGACTCAGGAGGTGGAGGTGAGAGGATCAGAAGTTCAAGTGATATGAAGCCTCTGGGCTACCTGAGAACCTGGCTCTAAACAAACAAAAAGGGGCTAGAGAGACAACTCTGCAGTAAAGAGTACTGGTTATTCATGCAGAGGACCCAGGTTCCATTCTCAGCACCTACCCACAACCACCGATAACTCCAGTTCCAGGGGATCTGATGCTCTCTTCTGGCTTTATACAGGCATTACACAACACAGATGCACTTACATACAGAAGGTAAAACACTCATATACATAAAACAAAATAAAATTTTAAACCCCTCTAAAAAACCAAACAAATAAAAATAGATATCAATGAATATATACAATGAAATTTTTTTTTAAGTTTTTCACAGAGTTAGGATAGCCTTTGCCTAGGGTAGGGGACACCCACACTGGCAGAACCAGCTCTCCGGATAGGCTGTCTTGATCTGTCTGTTCCCTGGGAAGGAGCAAGAGAAAAGGCTCCTGTGTGCCTTTGCCCTCCAGCTCTCACTAGGACAGCTCATTGGGAACTTGATGACAGTTCCTGCAACTCTGGGAGCACATGACAGGGGCTGGGAATACACCGGGGCCACCAGAAGAGAAGGCCCAGCATATACCCAGACCCCACCCCTGCAGGATATGGAGGCATCTCTTCCTCCAGGCAGATGTTCACCCCTCTCTCACAGGAACATCCCCCAGGCAACAAGCTGAAGCAAGGTGATTATCCTGCCTCCCCTGGAGGAAGACCAAGTTTTCTTTTTTTCTCTTTCCCCTGGTGCTATTTGCATCAGACCTCATGGGATCAGGATTCTGAGTCCACAATGCCCCCAGAGGTCTGGTAGGCAGGTGTTGAAAACTGGAGCAGTGGGATGGATTGTGCAGTTTTTGTCTGGGACCCTGTCATCACTTGTGATATGGCATCTCTCCTCCCAGGCCAGACCTGCCCAAGCATTTAAGGAGTCTTCAGGGGAGGAGGCTGGACCACCTCCTCCCAACCTTCCTGACTGAAAGGCCTTCAAGAAAGTGGGTTACACACAACCGTTCCAGTAGGTGCATTGTGTCCTGACCGTGGATGGCCAGAAAGGAGCAGTGGGCATCTGGCCACCTGCAGGGTCACAGGTGCACTTAGGGGTTGTGTAGAGATTCTTGGTGTCACAGAAAGAGTGCAGGCCACACAGGATGAAGAAGGAGCCCTGGGACGCTGGTCCCTTCATTGCTGTGGTGGGCTCTGGAGTGATGGCACTGGCTGCAAAAGCACTGATCTTCTTCTCCTTTGCTGTTGTGCTGGACCACAGAAACTCCTCCCACTGTGTCCTGCTCTGAGTGGATCCCTGGGAACCCGCCCCCACCAGCAGTCCTGAATCCTGGGTGTGGTTATAAAGAGTTCAGGAAGGCCACCCGAGAAGGTGGATCAGTATTGGTAGGGGAGCTGGGAGGAGCTGGGCTCTAGGAGAACGACAGAATAGGACATCAATAATTTCCCTGGAATGATCACAGGGTTTATTCAAGCCATGGAAGCCACAATATCTACCACTTTGGTAAGCAGGGAGAGGGGACCCCGGGCTGGGGCAACATCCCCAATAGAGCTGGGGTTAGTCAGGAATTTCAAGAGCCCCAAATCCAAGTGCAGAGAAGGTTGGTGTCTCAGGGGTGTCTCTCCCACCTCCAACCCCTGTCCTGGTGCAGATCCTGGCTGCATACAGGGTGTTCATGGAGCATCTACTCAGCCTGTTGGGGGCAGAGGCTGTGGAGCAGAAGGCCCAGGAGATCCTGCAGTTGGAGCAGCGGTTGGCCAATGTGAGCAGCAGGGGCTGGGGGCTGCCAGGGCTGGGACAGGGCGATGGACCAGGGCTGGTCAAGCTACTCTCCACCCCAGATCTCCATGTCAGAGTATGATGATCTCCGAAGAGACGTCAGTTCCATGTACAACAAAGTGACTCTGGGGCAGCTGCAGAAGATCACCCCTCACGTGAGTGTTGCTCAGACTTGGTGAGCAGGTGATGGGGGAGGGTCTGGGGACTCCAGGTCACCTTCTTCAGATATGTCCATACCCCTTGATGCCCATGTGCTCTCGTTGCCTCTCCCTGACCCCTTGCTGTCTGTGGCTCTATCCTCTGCCCCACAGCTGCGGTGGAAGTGGTTGCTGGACCAGATCTTCCAGGAGGACTTCTCTGAGGATGAGGAGGTGGTACTGCTGGCCACAGACTACATGCAGCAGGTGTCCCAGCTCATCCGCTCCACACCCCGTAGGTGAGGCTGCAGGTCGCCCACCCCCAGCACTCCATTCTCCTTGCCTTGGAGCCCCTCCATCAGCACCCTAGAGCTGTCTTCTTGGTGAACTTTGAATGTCCATCTCTGCAGAAGCCACACTGGGGGAGGCAGGTGGGAGCATAGGAACAGGAATCCAGATCCCTAGGTCATGTGCTGGTGCTGGCTCCTCCCCTGTGGGAGCCTGGGCACCCAGGAAGCCTCTTGGGCTGCCCTCCCTTATCCTGGGATGGTCAACAAGACATCTGGATGTTTCTTAAGGCAGATGTGATCACAGCTGTCTGCTAAGAACCACCTCGGGGAGAGCCTGCTGGTCTCTTCTGATCTTGGGAAGGACCTGAGGCCAATCAAGCCCAGCTCTGAGGCAGCGACCCCTAAGTGACAGGTGGCCCACCACATAAAGAGGTGGGAATCTATAAAGATCATGACTCATCAGGGTCAGAGTTCCTAGTCAGTAGTAGTCTGACTATGTCTGGGCCCCTGGCTACTTCAGGTTGAGTTCTGCACCCCATCAGTGGAAGCAGTATAGGTACTTGGGAAGGACCTGAGGTCAGTCAAGCCCAGCTCTGAGGCAGCCATCCATGTGTGCTGAGTATCCTGCCCCATAGACAACTGGGAAACTATGCTAGCCATGGCCCTTCAGGGTCAGAAGCAGGAGCATGTTCTGCTGTGATGAACTCAGGACAGTTCAGGTTAAACTCTGCCTATGTGGGTCAACCTCTTACCCCATCTTCGTGGGGCAGTGAGGTAGCGGCATAGGTAGGTCAGGCCTGGGTTAACCCATCGACATGTCTGTCTGGACCACCCTTGTTTTACCCCAGGTCCTTCCCCACTTCCCGGCACCCAGCCCTCCCATGGCCTCCATCTGAGAATGGAGTGCCCAGACTCAGCATGGGGCTCTCATCACTGAACTCCAGCCTGCTCATCACCAGGCCTCTTTACCCCAGAAACCTACCTGCTCTGTGGAGCCCCTGCCCTCCCTCCATAGCCAGCTAAGGGATGAGGCCTTAGGCAAGGGCCGAGTTGTGGCCCGCTGTTTGGCTCCTGCAGATCTGCAGCTCTGTGTCAGGAGGCAGAACCTGCAGGCTGTGACTCACTTTGTCCACAACTCTTGCTTACCTCTTCCTTAGACAGGCTGTCTCTGACCTCCTAATCTCTACTATCCACCCCTTTACCTGTACTCTGTACCCCAGGCACCCAGGGTTTTGCTTACTAGAAAGTACTTGAGGCATTACATTGTATAACAGTTCATTTTATTATTGCGATGGCTCTCTAAGGACTGGCGGTCCCTGAGGACAAAAATGTTCTTTGTTCAGACTTTTTCAAAAAATATTTTATTTATTTTTTATTTTGTGTGTATGAGTGTATTGCCTGCATGTATGTGAGTGCACCCGTGTCATGCAGTGCCACAGAGGTCAGAAGAGAGCTTCAGATTCCCCTGGAACTGGAGTTAAGGACGGTTCGTAGCCACCATGTGGGTGCTGGGAATCGAACCTGGGTCCTCTGAAAGAGCAGTCGGTGCTCTTAATTGCTGAGCCATCTCTCCAGCCCCCTTTGTTCAGACTTTTACAGATCGAGCTGGTTGGATGAGGAGGCCCAAGGCTGTTCTGGGCTGCCTGCTGGGCCTCCACAGCCTCTGGGCCTCTGTGAAGGGTGGTGGTATGGAATTGGTTCAGTGTGGTGTGAAAGAAAGTTTCCAAAAGAACTCCTGCACCTTGAACTGAACTTTCTGCAAGGCTGACCAACTGATTATCACTATCAGTCTGGAGACTGTGGAGAGTTTGGAATGTTGCAGGTCCAGAGTCTAATTTATCTCAGGCCTGTCTTTAGCCCAGAACAGCCACTCCTTTTAGTGTCCATCTCTGTTTCTGATCTAACATACTGTGACTAACAGATAAAAACCTTTAGAATGTATTAACTCAGCAGACCACCAGGTCTCACCAATCCAAAAGCTAAGAATGTCATCAGATAACATCTGAGGCCTATAGTAAGATCCCTCCCACTTTGCTATGACCTGCCTACTGAATGTATCCGCCAATGTATTTGAAAAGTGTCTTGATTTGTGACTTTTCTTTGTTCTGTTACTATAAAAATGTAAGACAGCTGTTACCACACTGGAACATGGAATTTGGGGTAACCTGAATCTGTGTTCCCGGGTCATGGTCAGCTCATATTTGGCTCCAGAATAAACCATCTCTTATCCCCTTTGAGATGAGAGTTTTCCTTTTGCGTCTTCGACAGTGGATAGCCAAGAATCTTGTGGAAGTCCCTGCTGGGGGCTCCAGGCCAGCCACCTCCTTGGCCAGCAGGGTCAGCTGCAGCTTCGATCAGAGTGTGGTGGCACCATGTGGTCCAGCTGTGGTTTTCCAAGCCGGCTCTTCTAGGTTGTGGGTGGCAGAGGTGGAGAAAGGGAGTCCAGGGAAGCCCTGGGAGGGCCTGGGTGTCATAACTTCAGAGTAGGTGGCAGTTAGAGCTATGGGCTAAGCTACTGTCTCAACATTTGGACAAGAGGACTACCAGATGGGGCACAGAAGCCAGAGGTGGACTGCCTGGGTGGAGCATGGAGAGTCCTGGACTATTAGGGGGCAGGAAACAGAGTGGATAAACAGGAACCAGCAGGGACCCTGGGAAGGAGCCCAGAGGGGACCTGGCGATCAGGACGCCATAGCTACCCCTACTAGCAACAGCATCCCCCCGAACAGCGGCAGGGACAGCTGAGCTGGGCCTGGGCCGGAGGCACTGCTCTGGCCTGGGGTGGTGGTGCTGCTGCTCTGGTCGGCAGGGGGCGCCAGGCGGCAGTCGGTGTAGGGCTCCAGGCAACCAGCAAAGGCCATGACATGCGCGACGTAACTCTGCTCCTGCACTCCGTGCACCAGGTGCGCCTGCGGGCCACGCGCGAATATGGCCACGTCCTCGCCGCCATGGGTCTCCGATGACAGGGGCACAGCCGCCTGCTGCCGGTATGTTTTGTCGCCTACAGGGTCAAGGCGTTCAGGGAGAGCAGCGTCCACTGCCCTGCTCGGCCTGCAGCCCCACGGCGTTGACCCCACCCTACTTACCACTTTCAGTCTCGGTCACATTGGGTCGGTTTCCTGAATTAAGCACATAGCCCGGGCCATTGCCATATAGGATGGAGGTGTAGGACTTGTCGTCCTGAGCACTGCGGGGAGCCAGCCCTGCATGGAGGAAGAGACACCTTGTGCTGGCACCGACCACTGCTTTTTGCATGTGAGCCACATACCTGCTCATTTGGCCTAGTCAGGGGTTCAGTTCTCACCAGATCCCTCCCTACAAGGCAAGTGCTCCTTGTGCCCTTTTGACAGATGAAGAAACTGAGGTCCAAAGATTTCTACTCCCTATAACTGAGGCAACACCACCTGTCACTGTCCCCTGGCCTACCGAAGATGGAGGTCCCCCGAAGTGTGTAGCCACCAAACGTGAAAACATGGGAGTGGTCAGCGGTGATGAGTGTCAGCGTGTCCTGCTCACTGGTGAGCTGGCCTGCCCTATCGATGGCAGAGTCGAACATGACAGCTTCGGTCAGTGCCAGGTAAGCTATGCCCTCATGGTGACCGTGGTCGATGCGGCCCCCTGCAGGCACCAGTAACAGGTGTGATACTTAAAACTGCCCTGGATCCCGTCCCTTCTTTTTTTCTGCCAGGCACAACCACTCACCTTCCACAAAGAGATAAAAGCCTTGGGGGTTCCTGCTCAGCATGCGCACGGCCACCTCTGTCATCTCCTCCAGGGATGGGTCTAGCGAGGAGTTTCTATAGATGTCATATTTCATTTCTACTGGCTCAAAGAGGCCTGAGGGCACAGGAATCCATGGTGACCCCAGGCTGGGCAGTGGGAGGGGTCATGGCACACATACACGCATGCTTCAGTGAAAGTCATCTGAAAGATGCTAGCAAAGGAGCTGGGGACCATTACCCATGAGGTGAGTCACTGTCGAGTCCTGGGACGCCTCAAAGAGCTCTGTGCGGTTCCAAACATACCGGGCCCCCTGCAGGGACACAGCCAGTCTTAGGATATAGCCCTGAGACGCACAGTCCTGCCCTGAGCCCTGCCCTGGGACCACCATCACCTGGTGCTTTAACAGCCACTCCTTCACCAGGTCCAGTTTATCCAGCCTGGCTCCAGACTGGGAACTATCATCCGGGTACTCAGGGTCTGGAGTCCCCTTGGGAAACATGAACTTTCGGCCCCCACCAAGGATCACCTGCGGTCAGAGGATCAGGACAGGTGGACTTAGGACCTTATGATTCCCCTACTTCTTGCTGACAGATAGCCCTTGGCTCCCCGCCAGGTCTGTGGTCTTCTAGGCTGGACACCCACCCCCTACTCATCTCTCAGGTATCCTGGAGAACCCAAAGCTCAGGCTGTTGTGTGTCTGGGACTGTGGCCAGTTCAAGGTTCACCCCTTGGTCTAGACCCTGGCTCTTGGAGCTCACGTCAATGTCCATGTTGAAGACCAGCTGTGCGGCGATGTCCTTGCAGCCCTCCTGCAGTGCCGAGGCAGGCATTTCAGCATCTGAGTACCAGTTGCGGTTCACCGTGTGTGCATAGGTCCCAGCTGGAGAGGCATGCTGCACCTGGGTGGTGGTCACCACTCCCACGGACTTTCCTGGAGGTGACAGAGGTCAGGTGGGCCACCTAGTGATCTAGGCCTGCCCCACCCTAAGCCCAGCACCAACCCCACCTGCTTCCTTCGCTCGGTACATCACTGAGATGACCTCGTTGCCAAATGTCGTGTTACACTGGTCAACTCGAGCTGCCGCGCTCAAACCAATGGTCTTGTAGTTGGCCTTGACCCCGCAGAGATAGGCTGTGGCTGTGCCTGCACTGTCTGGGACTTGTCTATCCACGTTGTATGTCTGGGGACAGAGTCATTCTCAGCTCCTGGTAGACATTAGTCCTTGCTTCCTGGGACATACTCACACTGCCCTGATTGCAAATTTGGACCCCACTTCTGGGTTCTCCTCACCCCATCATCTCCAGCCCCTCCCCCACATCCCAATATATGGCCCACTGCCCACCTTGGACAGAGCCATGTATGGGAAGCGGTCCATGGCCAGAGGTGTCTCGGGTCCCAGGTGGCCATTCAGTTGTCCCTTTAGGATCCGAGTGGCTGTCACCGTGGGCACCCCCATCCCTGAAGGAGCAGAACACAGTCAGATCTGAACCCCCAGGCCTGCCTGCCAAGACCCACCAGTGAGTGGCCTTGGGTACCTAGGGTGTGTGTAAGAGCCCCAGGGTGGCCAGACCTTGCACACTCACCGTCCCCCAGAAAGATGATGAGGTTCTTGGCTGATGTCTGAATGGGCTGTAGCTTCTTGGCGGCATCCAAGGCCTCAGCTGCCTTTTGGTTCCAGAAGGCCGGGCTCTCCTCCTCCCCTGGCCAAGGAGAAGTAGACCAAGTTAGAACGGAGGGTCAGGTTAGTCTTTCTGTAGGAGTCAGAGGGAGGGGAGCCCTCTTACCTGGGATGACACCAAAGGACAGCTGTAGCCTGAAACTCAGCGACAGCAGCAGCACCCAGGTTCCCTGCATGGCTAGGGTTACTGGTGGGCTGATGGTGGGGCTCTCAGCTGGGTAACCAGGGGTTCAGCTACAGCACAGCTTTCTGGGCTTAACTCAGAGAAGGACTTTGTTCCTGGCTGTAAAGGGTCCATTTCCCTCCCCTACATGCAGATAGTCACCCTGGCCCCACCCCTGCCCTGTGAACGGAAAACCCTGCTGGCAGGGTGTGGCTGTACCAGCTTGAGCCAGGGGTCCTGACAGAAGAGATCCATGTTTGGCCCAGGGTGTCTCCCCAGGTAGTGTGGGAGGCTAGGGGCAGCTACTCCTGGATGAGGAGTTTGTACCCTGTGCTGATGGGGGCCACCCACCACTCTGCTCACGCTACTTTGTTGGGGGTTCCTGACACTGCTCCTGAAAGCCAGCTGGGGCCAGGCTCTGATCTGGGTGCTCAAGGTAGGTGGGGTTCCAAGCAGCCAGGGCCTGGATTTGGCCTCCTGACGCCAGGACCCCCACTGATAAGGGAAAGGAGGAACACGGAGTAGCCGGGAGCCTTGCTTTTCCCTGTCTATTCTTGACCGGGAGAGATGGCACCCAGGACCGAGTGGGCTGAGTGACTACCGTTTGAGAAGGGTAATGCTAATGGAGCCTCCTCGAGTGGAACCCTTGTCCATGTCTTCAGTAATTGGCTGTGTGCTGGACCTACCCTGTAGTAGGCCCCTGGGTGTTTCTTTCTGTTAGTCACATTCGCACCTGTGCCTGGAGCAGCAGGTTCCAGATGTGGCAATGGTTGTATTTTTTCAGGGGGCCATTAGACCCTGAGGGGACAGAGTGACCCCTATCCCCTCAGACAGATAGCTGGGGCCCAAGGGTAAGTCTGTTTTCTGCAGGTACTGAGCACACCCAAGTAGCCACAGATACAGAGTTAAGAGAATGGGTTCAAAAGTATCTCCACAATTTAGCATCCCACTTCTGAGCATATATCCAAAGGCATTAAAATAGGAACTCTACATGCTGAGTGTGGAAGTGTGTGCCTGCAATTCCAGCTCTGGGAAATCAAAAACAAAATTGTGAATTTGAGGCCAGCCTGGGCTACATAGGGAGACCCTGTCTCAGACAAACAACAACATTTAAAAGCATCTCATATGACATGAAAGTGGAGAGGAGGCCACTGGGGGTGAGAGGAGAGGAGGCCACTGGGGGTGAGAGGAGGCCACTGGGGGTGAGAGGAGGCCACTGGGGGTGAGAGGGGGCCACTGGGGGTGAGAGAGTGCAAGGAAGGGGTGAGAGACAAAGAAGAAGGGGAGGAGAGAAACAATAAAACAAATTTTGCTTAAAAACATGTCAGAATGAACCCAAATAAAAATTAAAATGGGGGCTGGGGAAATGGCTGAACATTTAAGGCTTGCTGTTGCAGAGGAATTGAGTTCCGTTCCCAGAACCCATTGGACAGCTCACAACCGACTGTGACACCAGTTCCAATGGATCCAATGCCCTCTTCTGGTCACTGAGGACACTGCATGCACATGGTACATAAACACACGTAGTCAAAACATTCATACACAAAAAATACATAATAACTAAATATAAAATAGAACTGGCAGGGTTGGAGAGACGGCTCAGCGGTTAAGAACACTGGTTGTTCTTGCAGAAGATCCGGGTTCAAATCCCAGCCCCCACATTGGCAGCTAACAACTGTCCATAACTCCAGTCCCAGGGGATCCAACAGCCTCTTCTGACCTCCGCGGCATTGCACAACACAACATGGGTGCACTTGCCTACATGTAGGCAATACACGCCGCATACACACAAAATAAAAATATTAAATACATTTTTAAAAAATAGAACTAGCAAGATGGCTCAGCAGGTAACTTCACCTGCCTCCAAAGCTGACCACCTGAGTTCCATCCCCAGAACCCAGCAGGTAGAAGGAAAGAAATGACTCCCGAAAGTTATCATCTGACCTCCACACGTTCTATACTCACACATACACATATGCACACACAAAATAAATGTAATGCAATGCCAAAATGAAAACCATTAAATTCTATAATTAAGATGCTAATAAAAGCATAAAAAACAAACAAAATGGAAGGAAGTACATGGTACATGTGCATAGTGGGCGTAGTGGTGCACAGCTGTGATCCCAGCACTGAGGAGGCAGGACCATTACCAAAAGTTCACAGCCTGGTAGGGAGGCTGCATAGCAAACCTCTGTTACAAGAAAACAGCAGATAGAAGGAAAATCTGATGTGTGCCACATTGTGGAGGGTCCTTAAGGTCACTGTGGTCTCTGAAATCTGAATTCAACCAGCCACAAATAGGCAAGCGCCGTACATTTCTACAAACATGACATTCCCAGAGAAGTCAGAGTCTTAGAGACAACTGTAATCCCAGCACTTGGGAGGTGGAGGCAGGAGGGTCGGTGCTCAGGGTCATCCTCCCCTGAATAGTTAGTTCAAGGCCAGTCTGGGCCACATGAAACCTGGACACAAAAAACAAAGGGGAACAACAACAACAGAGTTCTTATCGCCAAGCATAGTGGCTCACGCCTGGAACCCCAGCACTCAAGAGGCTAAGGCAAGAGGATCGCTGTGAGTTTAAGACTAGCCTGGGGCCTGGGGAAGTAGCTCAGTTATAGTACCTGACAGGCATACTGAGGCCATGTGCTCAATCCTCAGCACTAGAAAAATATTCTGATTGGTAAATATTAATTATACATACTGATGCTGTGCCACTGATCATTTGATGCACATACACAACATGTAGCAATGAAGTTGGGGTGATTATGCTTTCTGTTTTCTTAAGCAGTTCTTTGTTTGGGAAAGGAACATTCTTGGCTAAAGGTCAGAGATGACTAGCTACTGGACGAACCCTTAATTAGTTCTGTATCAAGCCACAGATTAAAGATTCACGGTGCCACAGTCAGTCTGCCATCAGAATACCTTTGCAGTGACACTTCTTCCCTGCTTTGAAGTAGGAATTTTCACCTTACTATAGTGTCACATGCCAGTTTTTAAAATATTTTATTTATTATTGTTGTGTGTATGATGTGTGGGTATGGGTGTATCGGTTTCTCCAGAGGAATTTATCCAGGTATAATACACAGTCCAAGCAATCGACCCTACTGTGCACAGCTAATAGATACTCAAGAGAACTCTCTCTCTTTTTTAAAATATTTTATTTATTAGTTTTATTTTATGTGTATGAGTATATTGCCTGCATGTAGGTAAGTGCACCCGTGTCATGCAATGCCCACAGAGGACAGAAGAGGCTGGAGTTACAGACAGTTGTTAGCTGCCATGTGGGTCCTGGCATTCGAACCCAGGTCTTCTGCAAGAACAGTCAGTGCTCTTAACCGTTGAGCCATCTCTCCAGCCCCGAGAACTCTCTTATCTAACACTACTCTGTAGTGGGAATTTAATGAGTATTGTTGAGTAGTAATAGTCGCTGCAGCAAAATCTGCAAAGACACCAAATAGATAAGTCTCTTATCACATTTACTGGCCACACCAGAGTCCAAAGGATCTGACAGAAGAATGAAAGTCAGAGCCCCAGCTGATCCCACTTGGCCACTCCCTCCGTGGCCTATGGCACTGTTTGTATTTTTAGGGTTGGCATTAAGTGCCACATGGCAGCTAATGACCTTCCCTCAGTAACTCCTGTTCAAGGGGATCCTGTGCCCTCTTCTGACCTCCGAGGCATTGCAAGACACGGGTACACTCACATACATGCAGTCAATACACTCATACACATAAAATAAAAATAATAAATAAAAATTTTTTAAAAAAGCTTCTTTGATGAGTGGTGACAGGTACACTTGTCTGTAAATATAGGGATCCATATTTAGCATACAGTAAGAAATCAAGTTTGTCTAGGGATGTGACACATGTAGGGCTTTCTCTAGGATCTATGACCTCTCCAGCTGTGTGTATTTGTCTGTGTTTACAGTGCCACACATGAGTTCCCTCCCAATGAGTGGACCTTAAGTTCAATTACGTAGCTATTAATTACCCCCAGGATACAAGTGCCGCTGCTACACTGATAGTTTGCTACGCTGGTCATTGTTGTGGTTATTAGGCTTTAAAGCTGAAGTTGGACTATTGATTGATTTTCTCCCTTAGCAGCTTGCAGAGTGTCCCCTAGAAATATGAGAGCTAGTCTTCAGGGAGGAGGCTTCCAGGTTAGTGCCAGCTCTACTCCTGTGTCCAAAGTATGTCCTGTTTTCAGCAATAAGGTCTTAACTTCAAGTTCTGGGAGGTAACCAGGGGCTGAGGCAATAGCCTATTTATGTGGGGAGTCTCTTAGACTATTCTGACCAGCAACTCAAAGGGAGGTTTCTCCTGTCTGGCACTGTGAAGCTTTTTTTTGGTAACAGATAGACTATTACAGAGTCCCACAGCTGGTCACACACAGAGAATAAGTGTCTGTGAGATGCCCAGCCACATTTACAATGGAACCTCTATACCTAAGAGTATACCTATACCTTATGTTCCTAAGGCTCACGGAACACAGTGGAATGGGGGTAGAGAGAACACTACTGCATCTCTCAACTCCCACCAGCGAAGCTCCCTCATACAAGAGATGATGATGAACACAGAAGGCCACAACTGGCCGAAGTGTAGAGAATAAGAGACTGCAGAGTGTGTGTCCATGGATAGGGCGATAGGGCTCCTGTATTAAACCTCACCCACCCAGGGACCATTGCAGAAGAGGGGGTGGAAAGATTGTAAGAGCCAGGGGTGGTGCATGACCATAAGAAAACAGTCTTCCAGGCTTCTGGGAACTTGCTCATATGAACAGCAATAGTGACAGCATGCACAGGACCCGTGAAAACTCAGACAAAAACCTAGAATAGAACTGTGGAAATGGACAGCAGGCCCCAACTTTAGCCAAGGACATATTGGCAGATGATCACTTCTGGGTGAGGCAGAGTTGATCTTCAAGGGACTAGATAGGCTGAACAGGTTCCAGTGAATGAGCTCACATAGAGGGACATTTGGGTACACAAACTTGACTTGATAAGCCTTAATA